TCTGAATATGCCACATTTTCTGCATCCAATGTGCATCTGTGGAATTTAGGTTTTATATACATCTTGGCTATTATGAACAGTGAGGCAGTGCACATGAGTGTGCATGATTTTCTGGGATTCTGAGTTTGATTCTTTTGGATTAAATCTCAAAAGTAGGATTGCTGGCCTCTATAAATTATATGTATGATATTATATATATATATATATATATATATATATATATATATATATATATATACTTATAAATATATAATATTATAAGCACACATTTATATATAAAATATGTATTATTTATAAATAACTATATATATATATATATATATATATATATATATATATATATATATATTAAATAAGATATATAGTATTTACAAGAAATACCAAGATGGAGACAGACCATAGTAAATATTCTAGACAATGACATGAAAATGAATACTGTTAATCAAAGCTAAAGACAACACAAAGTTACAATTTGATTATACTATGTGGAATAAAATACACATATTTTAGCACAATTTTAGAATAGTTATTTTATTCATATCTTTACTCCTTCATTATGTATTATGTCAGTTAGTAAACAAAAATATTTTGAACATCTGTTTCCTGGGTATTATTTTAGAGACTGATAATAGAAAGGTGAACTGACATGATTTTTTCACTTATTTTGCTTATAGAATAAAAAATTTCACACAATAAGTAACATAAAATTGTTGTAAAGGATTTAAATTACAGCTTTTATCATGCTTTGAGGGGAGATTTCTGATTTGGATGAGAAAATATTTTTCCATCATAATTATTTCATTAAAAACTAGAAATTAGACCAGTTATATGAAGGGTATCTTAAAAAGTTAATACAAGTGGCATTGGATCTATTTAAAATAATTAACATTTGAATTTATGTTGTATATCTGGCTTTTAAGATTCAACTTCACAGGAGAGTTGCTCTTGAAATCAAAATGGTGGATTATATTCAGTTCTAATTCTTATATTCACATATGATCATTAGTACCACAGTCCTGTGCTTTCTCAAAGTTGAATTTCCTTCATTCCAGGACCATCCACAGGACTTCCCAGCTAACCCAGGGTAAAAGGGTACAGTTCAAGAAAAGGAGACAAAAAACGATGTAATTACTTTGCCTTGTTAAGTTGCCAAACGGAAGCCATGATCTTTACCTTTCATTTCTGCCTGATTAATGAGCATTCTGTTTGTGTTATTTTTTCCCTCTGGAATCAAGCCTTTATTTGACAAACTTGTTTCTTATGTTCAGAGACTTGAGACCCAGGAGCAAACATAATTCAGGGTGAAGGTCTTCAGGGACACAAGATACGTATAAAATCTTCAGCATGCTCCAAAGCAACCTTGGTGGTGGGCTTCTGCAGATCTCTCCACACAGGTAGGTTCCATCAAATATTTTACTTAACAATTAGTTCAACTACTTTGAAATGTCTACATTCAAAGACTCAAGACTGAAGTGGGTGTATTTTTCTTTACAGGTGACTCAACTATCTTCCTACACATTGCTCAGTGGTAGCTGTGGTGATAGAACTTAAACAATTATTTCTGACCTTTCTATTGGTAGATGAAATTGCTTGAGTATGCAAACAAACAAACTTCCCTCTTTGGGGTTTCTGCATTGTTCGTGATAGGAAACTACAATGAAAATATTTCTTGGTTTCAGTAATCAGTCTCTGTGTCCAGAGTGGGCACTGGGAGACATGTGGTCGTTCAACATTTATCCCAAACATAATACATGTCTAAACAAGTTTATGAAAAATTCCATAGGCTTGGGATATGGCTCAGTGGTAGAGCACTTATATAGCCTGCCTGAGGCCCTGAGTTGTATCCTCAGCGCAAAAAATTAATAAATAAAATTCATTCCATGGTAAAAAGCAATGGAATATAATTTATAAATTATCTCAGAAGTTAATTAATAATTAATTTATAGTATAGTTTCTTATTCAAATTTTGTCACAGTTGGAAATGAAATAGGTCATTAAAATGATTAACATTAGTTATTATATATAATTTTAAACTTTTAGTTACTACAAATTTTATTGTATTACTAGACCTATAAAATAGTTCTACTAATGACTAATTTGAAAAAATGTAGAAAATTAAATTAGCTCAAGCACAAATGCTAAGTCAATAAGACTGTGAGGGGGAAAAAAATCATGAGAAATCTGGTGCTGTCCTATAGGAACTATTTCAGTAGAGTGTACTCATTGCTACTGAAAAGCAACCCTGGATTTGCCATCAGTCATATTTCAGTAGAGGAAAGAGTTAGCAATAGGTAAGGACATTAAATGTGCAGACACTGTCTGTTCACAAAGCTAACTGCATAGATTTATAGAACAGTCAGAAATAGGTGTTTATGATGTTTTTGATTGCTAAGTTAAGGATGCATTTACAGAATGCATCCCAAGTGAGGGCAAACAATGCACAGTCACTTATGAGTAGTGAGACAGGAGGTAGGTTGGTCCATGTCCTGCTGTCACAGTGCTTTCTGCCTTAAGCCCACTCTGTATTCTTCAAGAACATGCAGTTTTGAGGTGCAGCAGTAGGAGATATGGGAGAACTGATCCAATTCAAATTACAGCTTCTCAGATTCACGATGTGTTGAATGAAGTGTCTACATCAAAACAAACACGTTGCAGATTTAAGAGAGAATATGTTTGCAGGACAGCATGTTTTCTTAATGTTAAATTTGTAGCTAGATATTACTCTGAGTTATGATCTTCATTTTCAATATAACTGACATACAATGTTTACATATATTTATGGGGTACAATGTCAAAATTATAAGCACATATACAATAAGTAATGATTGAATGATAATTATTGTTTCAATCTCCTCAAACACTTAACATTTTAAAAAATAATTTTACATGATTTGGTGCATTACAGGTGTACATATTGATGGGATTCATTATTACATATTCATACACACACACAATACGACAATATAATTTAACCAATATCACTCCACAGCACTTCCCTCCTCTCTCCTCAGACATTGGTCTGTTTTCTCTAAGGACCTGTCTTTGATTTTCATGGGATCAAAACCACCTTTCTTTTCCTAACATTTAACATTTCTTTGTGTTTGGAAATCTTCTAGCTGTTTTCTTCTTCTAGCGGTTTTGAAATCCATCCAATTTTTTTAAATATGCAAAGTTATAATTCACTTGCTCTACTTGACTGTAGTTACCATTGATTTTGTATACATGCCAATAGATATCCCTTGCCTTGTTTAATTTGCAAATTATAAGAGCACAACTAGTTGGTAATTAGTTGTGCTAGTAATCAATCCCCCAAAACAACAAAAAACCCAGCTAACTAAGACTGGGGTTGTAGCTCAGTGGTAGAGTGCTTGCCTCACACACGTGAGGTATTGGGTTTGATCCTCAGCACTACATAAAAATAAATAAACAAAATAAAGTTATTGTGTCCAACTACAACTAAAAAAAATTTTAAACTCAGCTAACTAAACAAATAACATAAACAAAACTACACTAAACATAGTAAAAAAGTTACAAAACGATAAAGTTTAGACAATATCTTCATCTAATATTGTATAAAGATTTGTTGAGTGATCTTACCTCGTTGAGTTTCTATTTTATCATCATATATGAAAACAATTGTATACAATTGAGCACTCCTGCATAAAAATGAGGTAATAGCTTCAAAATTCTCAGTATAATTCTGCCCAGAATTGATCTGCTGTATAAATGTCAGCCTTCTCCCCTCATTATTTTATACAAGGAAATCAAAGGAATCAGAGTTTAGCAAATAAAGTTGTAATAATTAAAAATTTAAGATAGACTTTAAACAATTTATGTGGTATACCTAGTCCAATCTATATATATTAAATATTTAGATTGATATATTTAATAGTAAAAGTATGGCTGGGGTTGTGGCTCAATGGTAGAGAATTTGCCTTTCACATGTGAGGCACTGGGTTTGATCCTCAGTGTCACATAAAAATATATAAATAAAATTAAGGTGCTGTGTCCATCTACAACAACAACAAAGTAAAAGTAATAAAATAAAAGAATTTGAAAAAAAATAAAGGATTGAAGTTCAAGCCTGTTTGCAGACAGTTGTAAAATAATAATGTTGTAGCAATTAATAAGGAGAAAAGGAAATATTGAAATTCTCTAGGTTGATTGATGACAAGCGTAACTTGAATAGGAAAACTGTGGAAGCCAAGGAAAGGTAACTGGTGGTCATTCTGATTCACTGACTTCTTAATGGGCACTCAGGAAAACACGTAGGTGTGGATATACATATACACACACATGTATATATCTGAAGTTTGATGCTTATATGACTAATATTTGCATTATAATAACCCCACTGACTTAAGAGACTGAGGAAGGAGAAATGAAATTTCAAAGTCAGCCTGGGCAACATAGTAAAGCCCTGAGCAACTTAGACAGAACCTGACTCCAAATTATATATATATATATATATATATATATATAAACAAAGGTCTGGGGAGGTAGCTTGGTGGTTAAGCACCCCAGGGATCAATCCCCAAAAACAACAAAAGAAAAAGTGAGATTAAATAAATATTCATTGAATATATATATTCACTTAATATATTTAAATATGTGTGTGTGTGTGCATGTGTGTGTGTGAAAATTTTCCTTGCCATTTTGAGAATATGTTCCTCTTAGGATCAACAACCTGTGCTTCCCATATGGTGGCCATCACTGGGTTCTATGGGACAATACTTTTCATGTATTTGTGTGTGTGTGTAAATAATGAACAAATAAATTGTTTATCCATACAGATCTAAGAGACTCAATTGTGTCTGGTGAGTTTGTGTTTCTGAGATTTGGAAAAGACTGGATGGAAAGCAATTAAGTATTGAATCATTTAAAGGTTTCCCAATCAAAATAAAGATTTTAAATGATACACTTAAAAATATAGCATGTAACAGAGAAGGTGACTTTTGTATCTTTCCATTTTTTCCCATTAAAGACAAACAACAAAATAAATGGCTTCTGGAAATCTCACCCAAGTGACTGAATTCATTCTGATGGGAGTCTCAGACCGCCCAGAGCTGCAGATTACCCTCTTCCTGCTCTTCTTGGTCATCTACGGGCTCACTGTGACAGGGAATCTGGGCATCATCACCCTCACCAGTGCTGATTCTCGGCTTCAGACCCCTATGTACTTCTTTCTCAGACATCTGGCTGTCATCAATCTTGGCAACTCTACTGTCATTGCCCCTAAAATGCTGGTCAACTTTTTAGTAAGTAAGAAAACCACCTCATACTATGAATGTGCCACACAACTGGGAGGATTTCTGGTTTTCATTGTAGCAGAGATCTTCATGCTGGCCGTGATGCCCTATGACCGCTATGTGGCCATTTGCAACCCCCTGCTCTACATGGTGGTGGTATCTCAACGGATCTGCCTTCTGCTGGTGTCCCTCACCTACTTCTATGGCTTTTGTACAGCTATTGTCGTGACACCATGTGTGTTCTCTGTGTCTTACTGCTCATCCAACATAATCAACCATTTTTACTGTGACAATGAGATAGACTGACTGTAGGGGATAGAGGTCGGTGACAATAATTTCTTGGAAAAGAGACAAATCTGAGATTACCCTCTTTGCCAGAGAAAACTTTATTCAACTACTAAAGATAATATTTTATTTTTGCAGAATTTTCTTCATCAAGTTCTCAATTTTTTAGGAACCATTTTATCTTGTTTTTAATAATAAATGTATATCACAGAAAAACTACACTTTTAGCAAAAGATGTTGACTAACCAAAAAGCATTTAGTACACATGGAAAAGAACATGTGAAAAAATAGACTAAAATAAGTCAACATAAGCATATTCTTCTTTTACCCCTCTCACTTGGTATGTGTACAAAAAAACAAAACTCTGTCATTCATCCAAAAAATGTATAACTAATTTTTCTACCTAATGTAAAAGTTATTATATTATCTTTTTTATGAAGCCATAACATTTAATATTATTTCTTTTAGTATTTTCATTTAATGTAATATGGAGTGAAATAAAACTATGCCCTCCCTCATAAAAGACATTTTTGTATATTTATGCAAGTGTCACATATTCCCAAGAGTCTTCCTGATAAAAAAAAAAAATTAATAGTTGCCAGGTGGCAAATCTTTGTACATGTAAAATGCTATCAATATATAATAAATGAAGGAGAAAGATCTAGAAACATGAGGCAAATGCATTAACTGGAAAGAAATTGCATTTATGATATTTTTATGAAAATCAGAAATAAACCAAATCTAGGAACTCTGGGACTCTGATCAATGAATTATCATCTGAATCTAATCTTAAAGTTGCAGAAGAAATGAAAAAAATATTCACACTAATAGCTATTTCTAGTCTCAAGTGACACCATTAGAATTAGCTAGATCTTTTTAGGTGTAAACAATTTTATTTATTTTTGTGTTTTTGGGAGACAGAAGTCTGCTCCTTCAGAAAGCTCAAGGGGATTGTTTACAAGGTTTTTCATCTTCTTGAGGTTTCCCCTTGGTCTGTGCTCCACTTCCAGCCAGCAATTACATCGCTGATTTTATGGCCATGTATCCTCTGATCCTCATGGTCTTTCTCTTGTGATTATGATTGAGCCAAAAAGGTGATCCATGAGACCCTGTCAATCTCCCAATCTTTAGTGCAATCACATCATCAAATTTCTTTTTCTATTCAAGGTAACATGTTCACAGGTTCTGGGAATCAGGACATGGAATTTTTTGATGGGAGTATTATTCTCTACACAATGTCTCATTTGGCATATTTTATGAAACTGGACAACCTAAAATTTGGTAGTAATCTCATCATCTAATGTTCAATATTGTACCTCACAAGTGTTACATACTATCTACACTTTCTATATTGTTTGTTTGTTTATTTATTTATTTATTTATTTATTTATTTATTTTTGCCCAAAATCATTACACGGAGCCTTGCTTAAATAATAGATAAACAAAAAAATAATTTAATTTAAAGGTTTTGAATGAATGCAAGATCTTAGGCACATGCTCACATATTTTTCATACTCTCATTCAGTTGTGATGAATCCAACTCCATCAACCCAAGCAGATATACCTGCCAATCAAATATTTAATGAAGCAAGATACAAAACTAGTTGGTCACCTCTGATCTCCTATTGATCAAGGGGAGATTATACCATTAATTCCCCTGATCTTTTAGGTTGTGCCTGGTGCCCAGGAGGTTCCATAGCATATCCTGTGTGAGTACTAACAGTAAACAATGTTTTGAGGGGTCTAGAGGAGATAGGAGATGTAAGATATAGTCATGAAGTGAAGCACTGTCTGTGCATACTCAGGAAATTTAGGGAGTACTTGACAAGGAATTCATAGAGGTCCTTCACACTATATCTGTAGTAAATCAATAGCTCTGACCCAATACCATAATAAAGGAATGCCCTGTACAAGAAAGCATCACAAGTGTATCAATCTCAGGTGGGGCAAACATCAAAGTCCCTCAGGAACTTAATTATTACACAAGCCATCAAGTGTCTACAAATTCAGAAAAGTAGTGAATTCCCTTTTACAAATTTAAACCCAAATATTGACTAGAGGACCACATTATTTTTTAAGGAATCCATTTTGTTTTGAAGGACTATGAACATATATCTCAATACTTTCTTTAAGTCCAAGACTTTCTAGGTTTAATGTATTTTCCACTACATTAAAAACCCCCAAAATGTGATTTTAATTGACCTTTTTTCTTGCAGTTCAAAAAAGTTGAGGAATTTTAATGTCTCCAGTGAATATTTTTCTTGCCTTTTAAGATTGATTTGAAAAACTGATGCTATTTCCCTAGAAATCTTTATGCTTTCCCTCATGTAGTCTACAATGTGGTAAGCCATACCAGTCCTGAAATAATTCATAGGGAGGTATTACTGGACAATGTAATAGGTAAAGGTGTTTTGGATCTGAACCTAAATGCACAGATAATAAAACTAAATCTGACAAATGGGACTACATCAAACTAAAAAGCTCTGTAGAACAAAGGAAGCAATATACAGAGCAATAAAACAACCTATAGGATAGGAGGAATGTTTTTAAGGTATTTCTCTGCAAGGGTTAATGTTCTGGATATATAAGAAACTCAACCAATAAAGAGCAGAAACATGAATAACCCAATGAAAAAAAGTTGGCCAAAGATCTGCATAGATAATTCTCAGCAGAAGACACACAAATGGCTAATAGATATATAGAAAGATGTTCAATGCCATTAATTATTAGAAAAATCAAAATAAAAATCATAATGAGATATAACCTCATCTTAGTGAGAATGGTTATTATCAAAAAGACAAACATAATTATCAACTGCTGGTGGACCTGTGGAGAAAGACCTTTCCCATATACTTCTGATGGTAATGCAAATTAGTTGAGCCTTTGTGGAGGACAGTGTGGAGACTCCTCACAAAATCAAAAAGAAACTCTCATGGGATCCAGAAATCCTACTACCTGTTATATACACAAGAGAAGAGAAACCCACATATTGAAAAGACTCCTGTACCCTGCTGTTTACTAGAGCAGCAATCACAATAATCAGGATATGGAATCTACTGAAATGCCCCTCAGCAATTGAAGTGATAGAGAAAATGTAGTTACAATGAGTAAATTCTATTAAAAGCCATAACAAAGCTTGGCATCCTATGACTGGTGGCAGTATAGTCAGTCCTGGGACATTATGTTAAATGAAAGAAGTAAGGCACCAAAATTAAACACTGCATGCTATCACTCATAAGAGAAGTCTAAAAATTTTGATTTCACAGAGGTTGCTTGTTAGGAGTGGTGACTGAATCATGATCCTTGAGCTGTTTGGCTACAGGAACGATGCTGCTTCGGGGAACTTTCAGTTCCATGGTACCAATAAGACTGCCCAGTTGCTAAGGTGATGCCGAGCTTAAAATGAGGTTCCCTGCCTTCCATGGAATTATAAGTTCTTGACCTTAAGTTCAGATGCCAGCTTGAGAAAATTATGGGTGCAGGCTGATAATTATAATTGGGCTGCACAGAATTTTAATGATAATAAGTCATTTTAATGATAAACCTTTATAATAAACATGCTGAGCTGGCTTTTGCTCACTATTGCCTGCCAGGGTTTGTGAGCCACCCGACCCCAGCTTTTTCTCTCTTTGTGGTTCTGTTTATCTTTTATTCATCCCCTCATTGTCCCTCATCAGGTTACCTGAATTAACAGCCATTCAAGTTGTGGGAGTTGTTGCCCCTACAGGGACTGGACACAGGGGAACTTCTTCAAGTTGTCAGATGGGTGGGATGCTCCTGAGGATGTGCATCAGGTAAAAAAGGTGAGGAGCAAGTTTATAGCTTGGTGTAAAACATGGGAAAGCTTGGATCCAAAGAAAGGGATGTTTCTATGTTGTTTTGCTTAAAATTTTGTTTAAATCAAAAAGGGCGCAGTTGTTGCAGTTTTTAGAATTTGTCACCAAAACTTGTCTCTGGTTCCCTGAAGAAGGAACAGTAAATGTGGAGATTTGAGAGAGAGACTTAGTAAACAGCTGTATACTAAGTATGCATCTGAGGTCCTGACAAAATTCCTGGGGCTACTTTCACTTTGTGGTCATTAGTAGGAAATTGTCTCCATCCACCTCATGAAGGCACAAAACAGTTGGCATCTGACATGATTTCTGGACTTAAGAACACTGTTAAAACTGTAAACAGTTAACAAGAAGTTCTCTGCTGAAAGCACCTCATCCTCCCCACCAGAGCCCTTGCCTCTTGAGAGTAAACAGGAATTGGAGGGAAAATGGGAAAAATCGGAATTACAAGTACCCAGGTCAGCAATGTTGTCACTGTTACAACAGGTTCCCCAGAAAAGAAAAAAGAAAAAAAAAACATAAACTGCAGTACCACATCTGAAGAAAATAATTTTATTTATTTATTTATTTATTTTGGGTACTAGGATTGAACTCAAAGGCTCTCAACACTCAACCACTGAACCACATCTCCAGCCTTCTTTTTCATTTTATTTAGAGACAGGGACTCACTGAGTTGTTTAGTGCCTTGCTTTTGCTGAGGCTGGCTTTGAATTTGTGATCCTCCAGTCCTAGCCTCCCAAGCTGCTGGTATTAAATACTTTTAAAGAAGAAAAAGAATAGTTAAAGCCCTCTTTCCTTTTTAGTTTTTGTTAGATATCTATCTCTCCTAGGCTTGCATTTAAAATGTAAATTGCAAAGTCCTACAAAGCCTACAATATTTACAGAGAATTGGTTAAGTCAATAGGACAAAAGATCACATTTAAATCTGAGGTGCTTCTGGCCTGGATGACTATTTTCTTTTGCTCTGTTTTATTAACAGGCTCTTCCTGAATGTTATAGCACTGGGAAGAAATGCAGAAAGATCCCAAATGTGTAAGATATGCTGGTGTTGGGGATAAATCTGACTGTCATCAGGACAAATGGCCATCTGAAACATTTATTTTCAGTGTCTGTCATGGCTATAAGATTTATTACCTGACATTTCAACTGTAGTCCTACTGTATATTTAAGACATCATATAAAAGTCTG